TACCTCGTGAAAGGCGTGTTCCCTTCTTGCTGTGTCGAATTACCTGGCAGTGAATTAACGAGCGGTGATCTACATTTCAGACTACGACGGGATAGAAAGTATCTAGAAATGTATCAAGGAAGATTCCAGGAAAGAGATCGCTTAGGATATTATGTGGTGGTAATAACTAACTGTGCCAACGAACTGTGAGTTGCATCATCTCGTCTATTTTCTTTCTGACTTGATTTCACTACTTTGAACTGGTATTCGCTCACCTTATCCACTACAATTTGCTTGCGGGTGGTATGGTGCCGTTCTTAGCCGTCTGATACCCAGCTTATGCAAGCAATTCCGAAACTCTTCGCTCTCGAAGCATGACCTCTGGTCCTTTAGGATCAATTTTGGCACCCCATTGTTGGCCACGATGTGGTGCATTACCACTCCGTTGGTTGTGGTCGCCCGCTGATTAGGCACGGCTGCAGCCTCAATCCATCGCGACGGGTGTTCTGTCACCATCACGGTGCATTGTTTCCCACTGGTTGCCACCGGAAACGGGCCCATGACGCCATCTGACCCCAACTCGCCGATTTCTTAGACAGGAATGGGTCCCATGGGATGGGTTGCCCCTGTCGTATCCCCGTTCCTTAGTTGACAACGCTTACAGGACACCACATAATCCATCACCTCACTTCTCAAATTGGGCCAGTAGGCCTTCTGCCGAAGTAGGTCGTATGTCTTGGTGCGCAGAACAGAATACGGGAGGGAAGCAATAATGTGTGGGTATTGAGACGGAAATGGCAGACCCAAGTCGAGTGAGGTACAAAAATAGCTCAAAGTCACTCAAGGGGGTGGTCACTAAAAATAAGCCTTTTGAGGGGATACTGACATCCCAAACACCTCCTCTTGAGGGAGAAGAGGTCAGTAGCGGGCCTTCCTGGGGTCCATTTGAAAAGGAGTGGTTTGGCATCGACGGCGACCTGTCCATCTTCTTGGTGAAAGGTTTAGTTCACTGGCTGATGCGTTCTGCGTCGCCGGCTGCGTTACATCGGGTGTGGTCGCCTTCAGTTCAAAAGTGGCAAGAGGTATGTCGAGTGGAAGGTCGCTCTGAGATGCTGCTGGGTCTGATGGATGGCATGGACTCAGTTGATTCATGTGTCGGATCAATAACAAACGACAGAATCAGCCGGGTTCCAGGTGAGTCTCCTGAAAGAACCAGATTGGTTTGCAGATGAGTGTATGTTCGCTAATTTCGTGCAATTTGGTTTCAAGTAGAACATAACGTTGACGGAATCCGGGGACCGCGTGATCCTCATTGTGCCTGGTTGGAGAC